TTTGAACTGACAACGATAAAGCTACCCTGAGATTTAACATTTAAACAGGAATTAGAGGTTCACAAAAAGGATCAAGGGGAAGAGGAGCAAGGGGAAGAAGGGGAGGACAAAGGAGCGGAGGACAAAGGAGGAGGAAAAGAATTCAGAGGAGAAGGAAGAGGAAGATTATTTCAGAAGGGCAAGGCCAGCTTGGGTGGTATCCAATTTAGAAATTCAGTATAAGACCATAAAATCTTTCTAAACAAATCTTATAACAATAGCCATAAATGGGAGTAACATGATATATATATCCATTTCCTTGCAAATCAATGCAAGTTTTTAAAACATGGAGTGTGGTAACACTGCTGCAGTTCCAAACCAGGGTCCAAAGCTCTGCCAAAAAAGTTTCCGAGTTCATCCTTCAGTGATAAGCTCATACTTCATGTCCCCCACCCCCATCAAAATAAGGTGCAGCCTTCCTGTGAGGCTAGAATGCAGTAATTGAAAGTGAAAATGTAAGCCGGGTGTGGTGGCTCACACCTATAATCCCAGCACTCAGGAGGCTGAGGCAGGAGGATCACTATGAGTTCGAGACCAGCCTGGACCACATAGTGAGTTCCAGGTCAGTCTCAACTACATAGTGAGACCCTGTCTCAAAAAACAGACAAAAAGAAAAAGAAAAAGAAAGAAAAGAAAGAAAGTGAAAATGTAAAAAAGTTTTACAAGAATTTTTTTTACCCAAGCCATACTGTAAAACAGTATGAAACCCTATGTTTAGTTAAGAGGAAAAGCCCCAGTGTGAGACAGGTGGGGAAAAAAACAAGATAGAAATAATACATTTGAAATTTCCGAGTCATAACTGCTGTTTCTAGAGAAGAGAAGGAGAGCAGGGAGAAAAGGAGGGCCCTGTTTGTGTGAGAGAACTGGGAAGTACTGCTGGAGAGGTGTTTTCATTAACAGACAAGAAAACTCAAACGAATATCAAAGCTCCATTCAGCAAGTAGTACAAATATATCTTCTAAGATATTACTCCATTTTTTAATATCTCAAAAACCCCCAACTAAATGGAACTTATAAGAAATACACTCAATGCTTTATGAAGACCCTAAAACAATCTTGGATTTGGAAGAAGACTTAGAGATAATCGAATCTGACATGTCTCTTTGAAAAGATAAACGTAAGTCCATAGGCATTAGGCACTTCTTTCCAGTCATTTAGCAGCAGAGCAACTTTAATCTCAACCTCCCAATAACCTGGCCAGAGACCTTTTTATGATACTGCACAACCTTGAAGTAAGGAGAATCGGGGTAAGAATTGCACGCTTGCCTAAGAAGAACAAGGAGAGGGGAAACGCCATATAGAAAATTCATAAAAAGTTCGACAGCTGCTTATCATCATTAATACACGGGGACAGTCTCAACTGATCAAGCCCTCTCTTCCTTACATGTCCTATATGGAAACTAGCAAATTGTGTGCACTCGATACATGTTAAGTCTTTAGCCACTTCAAAGCATTACAAGACCTTAAACATGTTTCCTAAGTCCCCAGCACCATTGAATTTGTAGTTTTATAAATATCATGGTGAACAAGAAATGCTGTCTTGTCACATTCAAACCAAATAACAGCTGGACTTTAAAAATAAAATTTTGAAGACATTTGCCTTTTATATTTTTAATTTCTGTTTTCCTTGCTTATGGTTTTGTCATTTGATTTTGATGAGTGGTTAATACACATGCACAGCTGCCTCTTTTGGTGACCTTTTCTTTGCTGCCTCCCTGCCTGGGCTATGAAGCAGGTCTGCAAGATGCTTACTAAGTCATACTGTCGTTTCCACACCAGTAGACGTTTTCCTGGGAAGCCTGGCGTGAGCAGGGCCTCATCTCCTGGGCTGAATTTATTCATTTCAGAAGCCCAACAGGAGGGTGGGACAGAAGTCCTGGGAAGGCACAGTCACTAAAAATCACTGTTCCAAAGCGAGGAACCCTTGGAGATGATCACACATGGATAGAGGGAGAGCACTTCCTGCATTAGAGGCACAGAACCCAACTGTCAGCTCAGCTTCCTTAGGGAGCACTCACACTGAACTCTCTGTAGATTACGATAAAGTACTGCTCTCCCCGGCACTTCTTCTCAAAGATAGTCATGTATATATGGACACACCTATTTCCCTTTTAATCCTTCAGCTTCCCTCACTGGGCCACAACCTCTGACAGGTCAGGGACATCTCTGATGTGTTGCCCATGGTTTGCCCAGGGTCTGGTTCAGGGGCTGGCTCAGGACAGTCATCCAGGAAATGGTGGCGGTTTTGTTGGACCACAGACTTAGTGAAGGAGCAAAGACCTTTTTTTGTTATTCTGATTCTTCGGTGCCTTGTTAGTTTTCCCGCTAAGGGAAATACGAAGGAATAAAGTAGAGAAAGTATTATGTGTACTTGTTATCTACTGCTTTTAATGTGAACCGTAACTCCAGCAGGCTCTGCAATCAGTTCGTACTTGAACAAACGCCAGGAAACAGGCTGAAGTCAGCAGAAGGCTGCTCCCCATCCGAGCAGTCCTCACCAAAGCAATGTGCCGCAGAGGGTATTAAAGCAGGTAACCTGACTCCATTCATGAACTCAGTCCCCCAAAAGCACAGGAGATCTCAATGGCAACTTCTGGGCAAGCTTCTGAAGGGAGGTTTTCACACCCTCCTTAAGCTCCTGGGCCACTGCAGACCTTCTCCTGTTACACTCACCCGGCACTGCTGCTGTGTGTGACCCGGTAACGTGAGAGCCGCTGCGTGGTGTGACCTGCTATATTTAGGGAGAGGAAATGGGCCGCACTGGGGAAGGTCACGAGGAACTTGCTCAGAAAAGTAAGGGAAGGCACCACGTATCTATCGGTATGTACACAGGGGTGCGGGCTGAAAACTGAGCCTGGTATCAAATCTCATCTCTGCCCTTACTAGCTATATGGCTTTTAGCAAGTTATTTAATAGCTCTGTTTAATTTTCTCAACTGTAAAATACCTTTTCGGAGGCTGTATAGAGATTGAATGAAAAAATATCTGTGCAAAACAACACATTCTGTGGCGCATGAGAACCTAATAAATACTTTGTAAAAAAAATATAACTAGGAAAATAGATTTAGATCTGAACAATCTGGATAATCTGGGTATTTATAGGTTTGGGCCTAGACAACTTGAGTAATCTGAGTATTGAATGGACTATCTAAAAATACTCCTGTGCAATGTTTCCCTACAGTAAAATTCTCAACTTTTTCCTTTTAAAATAGTAATTCCAAGACTATTAACATATCAAGCACATGATATTGTCAACTTTTTTATCAACATTACAGAGAGGCAATTGATTATAACTAATATGCAGTTAAGAAACAAAATGAAAAATGTCAAATGACAGAGTAAGAAAAGTCTGTTGGAGTAAAGGGAAGGTAATAGAGCCCTAAAATTTCTAGCTTATAGCCGAACGTGGAGACTGAATATTCCACAGTGATGTAAAAATTTTATTTCATTCTATTGAGCCCAAGATTCGGGTACTCCAAGTACAACCTTGTGACAAAAGTGAGATGGGACAGAACTAAAACACCTCCTCACAGACTTTCAGGCCTGCTCTGGTGTCTGTGCTGTAGATGGATGGCTGACTGTGCAAGGCCCATTATTTGGACTTTCTGGGTCCCTGAAAAGAAAGATCTCAACCCTCACTGCTGGAAAACCTGCCCTTCTAAGTGCCTATGAAAATGTCAATATGTTCTTGGTGCATATTATTCAAGGAAGACAGCAAGAATGTTTCTTGTTTTTAGTCCTGTATCCATCTTTTTCTATTCATCTTCTTCGTCTCCTCGTCCCTTCTTTTCCCATTCTTTCCTTTTTGCTTTTCTCTATCTCTGTCTCTCTCTTTCTCCCCCACCCTCTCTGTCACACACACACACACACCCCTCAATCAGAATTTAACACCTTCTCCCCAGGACTATCATCAAACATTAGATTGTCCTACTGCTATGAAAAACCAGCCTTCTGGAAGCTCTCAGAGGTGCTTCCTAAATTCTAATACTACCTATTTACTAGTGCTCATGCTACAGATTCTGAACTACCTGGAAAGAACTAGTTCCGATACAGCTATGAAATATCTTCATGTGTTTTCAAGGGATTAGGATCCTGGAAGAAATTCTGCTAGTAACAAGGATACTAGTAAGATTCTTCCCCTCAAGCTAAAACAGGACTTTAGCAGAGACCCAAGATGGGTAAAGTATCACATTACTCTGAAGAGAACAAATTAATCTTCCCTGACTGGTGGGACAGATTCTGCCAAAGAAACAGCTAACGGGAAAACCAGTCCTTACTCTGTGATGACACAGTAAATAACCAGGCAACATTATTACTCAAGTGCTGACCTAACCCATAAATTGTACCCAGCCTCTGGGGAGCAATTTCTGCTGATGTGCTGCTTGTGCATTTAAGACAAACAAACAGAAAAAAAAAAAAAAAAGAAGCAGACAGGATTTGACAGTGCTATGGGTAAACATTCTGAAGCAAGGCAGCTCTTTCCACCTAGACTTTCAACAAACTTCAGTGTCCAGACGATCTAGGCCTCCCCTGAACAACTAGTAAGTTTGTGCAAGACCTGCTGGAAACCATCAGTTAGTTCCCCAAATGGTTATATTGTACCTAGGAATTCCCTGATTTGGAATGTGAAAAACAAAAAAAGCCCTCCTTGTATTTCTTTTTTTTTTTCTTTCTTTCTTTAATAAGTATGCACTGAGGTAAATGAAACAGAATTCTGTTGCTCATTGGAGTAATTTTAAAACTTTCAAGTGGTACCCTGAAGGACCTGGGTGACCATGTGTTTATGATCTAGCTGCTTCTCCATGTTCTTAACTATATACTGAAGACCAACATTTTCTTAACTTTGCCTAGAAAATGCAGCTAGTGACCCCCCAAGAAAGGCCCCAGCGATCCTACATCTGACTCAAATACACTTTCAGGAACACACAGAGCCACAGAAAGAGCCACGGAAAAGCCACTCACCCTCTGCATCTTCCGGCCGAGTAAGGTCGATGACACCTGGGCCCAGCTTTCCATCTTCGCTTGACTTTCCTGTTAACTGGGGCCCCAAATTCTCAAAGCGCGTTCTTTCCTAGAGGAAGGAATAATCAGAGGCTTATTCTAGCTTCCAAAGCAACCACCTTTTCCTTCCAATTTCTATCTTGCTTAATGGGCAAAAGGTGGATTTGTAAACATCATTTCTGACCCACTTGGCCTGTGAAAATCTTTCAGAAAGATCTGCCAAAGCCTGATCGTGGCACTGAGGGCATTTAGACCATAGGACGTGTATGGAAAGGAAGCCTACAGTAGACCAGCCAGAGCTGCTTAGCACTTCTCCTCTCTTTTGGACTGGACCTAGAAATCTAAAAGGAATGCAAAAGAGTTGAATCAAAAGTGCAAAAGCATGGAAGAGCAGTTCCTGTTAAAGTAATACAACTAACTCCCGTGGCAGAGAATTGTTCCCACAGAGATCATAGCTTGTACTACTTTTACTGGGAAAATACAAACTAAAATTTCATACACTAGGTTTTCAGAAATATTTCAAAAGAGGTAAACTAGATGATGGAATCAGTACTATTGTTTTTAGCTGCGAGTTCCTGGGAAATGAAAGAATTTCACTCCCAGCCAACCATGGACCAGAAGAGTTAACTACCCCAGCTGGTTAGGAGGGAAACCCAAAAATGTTTTACCCATTCACTAGCTCTAGGAGCACAGTGGCCTCACAGTGGCCTCACAGTGACTGGAGCCCTGTCGCTCTCTGTATCGCAAGCAGAGGGCTCACTGGCCATCGTTGACATGGTGTTCTCGTCGGCAGAAACCCAGCACGTGTCTCCCCCGCACCCCCACTTTTCCTGCTCTCCAGACTCAAACTTGGCTTTGTGTTATGCTTATGAATGAATGAAACCTTGTTGTTCATTACTATGAAACAATATTAAATGTCATGTCAGCTTGAATTTACAGACATGAAATAGCAGCTTCCAGCTCCAGGAATGGTTTCTGCATGTTATACTTAATGCATTATGCAGCAGCAGAGTGCTGATTGCTGTTCAGTCTATTGTTCGATGACCTAGTTCTGTACTGAGCATGTTCAGCACTAGATGGAAATACTTGGAGTGTTCTCTTCTGTAAGATGTTTAGAAACTTGGAAATATTCTTAAAGAGCAAACATACAATTACTTGATAGAGGCTGTGCCTCATTTGTACAGTCTCACTACATTTGTGCTTCCTAATATGATTATTTTTGAATATCATTATATTTCTATAATTAATTCCCATCAGTCAAATTGTGCAGGAAGTCTTCCAGTTTCCCTTCATCATGGAATGTGTTGAAATCTGTGTTGGAAGAAAACACAGCGTAAACCTTGCTTTAATCTAGCACCCTTTCTATGACAGATTTGCAACAAAAATCATAAGCATAAATTTCTCCAACTGGATTATATTAACTAGTTTCAATAATAGCAGGCCGGGAAACCTCTGAAATATGACACTTACAGAAGACAGAGTGAAATGAAAACCAAATCAAGGGTGGTTCTCTAATATCTTATGTAAAAACTACCGCCCAAGAACAAATTAACCCAGATTGCAGGACACAACAAAAAGCAACCACAAGCTGTGTGGGAGCATCACACATTGTCAGGGGAAGGACAGCTGCTTTTAATCAGCCAGTTTCTATTTTGGAGTAGCACTTTTGGTTGTCATGATGTAAGGAAAAAGAATTAAAGTGAAGATGAGTAGTACTAGGGGAAGCGAAATATTCGACCTTTGTTTTATCATATTGTTTCACATTTCAATTATTTGCATGTGAATGCTTTCCCTGTGTTAAATGCAAAAGGAGTTTTGATGTGACACCTGCAATCTTCTTGGAAGAACAACCTTTAACTGTATTTTCATGGGGGGAAAACAACTTTCCCTGACAATCAACAGACCGAGCTACCTATCAATATGCATATTTCAAGTATCTTTTCTAGTCATTCATTCTCTTTGATTTTACCGGAAAATATTCTCAGTTAAAAAAAAAATAAAGTTCCTGAAAGAATATCAATATTTTGACAAGGAAGGAGAAGAGGGAAAATTACATGCCATGGTTTGTAAAATCCTAAGACAACAAAGCTTACATGATGATAATATCTTTTCTTTTATAAAAATGAAGTGCACTTGCAATTCAGTAGTATCAGCTTGTTTTTAATCATAACAAAAAAACATTCAGAACATTCAACAACACATTCACAGTGCTTTTGAAGTCATACATTTTTCTGACTTCATTGAAAAAAATTCTTTTTCAGAGATACTTTCCCTATAAAATATCAATATTTTGACAGAGTAGAATAAGAGGAATAATATCCCATGAAATACTCGTTAGGTAGGCAGAAAATAAACCAGTGATAAACACTGTTTGGGGTATTGGGTTGCATTTTAAATTTGATGATATTAAGCACTGCGTGTGAGATTAAAGAAGGACCCTGCAAAGCCATGCCCTTTCATATAAATTTCCACCTAGTCTCCCAGAAGATTTCCTTCTTTTCTTCAAAGAATAGCTCAGAATATTTATTTGCCAGCCACATAATCACAAGATAAGAGGGCCTGATGTATACAAGTTAGGTCTGGGCAACTGAGCTAAGCAAAGATTTTACCAGTGAGGTTGAACATAAGCCTAGCAAATACAGGATGCGGACATGGACACAAAGAAAAATAGAAGGATGTTTCAGTTCCAAGAAGCCTAATCTTCCTACCATTAAATACCAATGGGTAGACTCCTATATGGAGCAAGTATAGGCCGTGGGTGGCAAGTTCTTAAGTCTAAATCCCACCCTCCCTACATACACAAACCTGAACTGCCCTCACAATGCACATGGCTCTCAAGAAAGATATTTTGGAAATATAAGCAAAATACCTCAATGCTTATTCCCCTCCTGAAAAATTCCCCAACAGTCACACTGACAGTGAAATGCACATTTCACATGCAGCAATGTGATCAGACACTTATTTATGCATTGTCAGTCACAAACATGCAGGCAACATAAAAGTTATTGAAAAAAATTAAAGTCAGCTCTGCTGTGTTGTAGGACTGTTGGCTCTCTAAGTGCTTTGAAATTATGATGTATGAGGTAGATGTTGCATATTAAATAAAGATATTTAAATGATAAAGCCTCCTTTAGTGAGAGCTGATGAATGTTAAATGTTACAAGCCACAAGATGGTAGCATCCATCATCTTCACATATTATCAGAGTCAATGACGGTGCAGACTCACTGATGACAGATAGACTGCTGCATTATTATCCCTTATTTCCAGAGTCACTGAACAAACCATTCAACTCCTCAGGCATTATTTTTAACTTTGCATTAAATTAGCAGACCACCCCCCCAATGGCAAGACTGATCAATTATATCTTTGCATCAGTGGAGAGAGAGAATGGATTTGGGATAGCTAAAAGACCAGAGGTTAGTTTTCATCTAGGAAAAAAAATCTACTTCTTACTGGCAACAAATGTGAAATTGTGATCTGGAGAAAGAACAGCAATGAAACAGTAAGCACACAATAATGGTTTTTCTTTGCACTTAGATAAAAGCTGAATTTTTGATGTGCAGAGTATATTTTAATAAAATTTTATATACTATGTTTTATACACTTATTGGCTATTCCATAATAATGTGTGTGCTAACAGTAAAATTGCTCTTAAATTTATGTGTGTTATTTATACGTTCCCACGTAACAATGCTTTTTGTTGTAAAAAATATTCTGTTTATTAATGTAACTTTACAACCACTGCATCCAAGATCCGTGGTAAATTAATGACATTTTTATTATTTTATAGTGTCATTAAATTTTTACTGATCACTCCATCAAACAGAGGCAGTAAAGGCCATAATGTAAACTGGGACACTTAGATCAGGCAGCAGGAAGACATTCCATATAGTCTGAAGAAAACTGCTAGCAATAAATGATATTTATACCATCTTTAAGCATATGAGAATACTTGGATAAGTTTGGCAAAACTGTTTCAGTAGTAGAGTGGATTGTGTACTTAAATAACAGTTTGCCTGCTAGCGAGACAAGCCTTTTTCAAACCACATGCAAGATGACTGATTGCAGCCATCTCCTAAAAAACAACACATGAAACATATGACGTGTCAAGCACCTTCCCCCCGGATTACCAAAACTGACCAGCCTACACCATACTTCCAATTCTTTCAATAAGGTCTCCTTTTCTACAGACTGAGGGGAGATATTGTACATGCTGAAGAAAGCTTTTTGTTTGTTGCTTTACAAATATATTCTATTTAAGTAGGCACGGCTAGACAACAACGTGATGTATTTTATTCCAATGGTCTAAATGAGACGCACTTTACCAACCTTTACTCAAAAGCTCCCTTGTAAAGAATGTCTGAACGTCAGGTCATTATGGCAGCTATGCAGCATACAGCTAAGGTACCGTTGCCTATATGGTAGTTGAGCGTGTGTGGAAAATAATTATCCTGTGTTATTTTCATATGTAAAACACGTTATAATTAGGATGCTCTCTATATTGACTCTCTTAAATAAACTTAAATGTGTGTTATTAACTAATTGCTGAACATTCCATTTATGCATATATAAGACAGTAAATAGAAAATTCTATGCTCATATAATCACAGATTTAGAAGCACCTATCTTCTATATGGGGAATCTGGTATGATTGTTTTTTAAGTAAATAAGAATTTTGTTGTTAGATGCCCAAATACACCTTTAAATATTAAAGACTTTTTAAAAATCTTTTAAATTTGTAATGATAGGGAATTTAGCAGGAAAGATGACTACTGCAGCCCTATCAATCGTGTGTGTGTGTGTGTGTGTGTGTGTGTGTGTGTATTCCTAAAGCAGGGCTTTCTAAGAGAAATGAAAAACATGTATATTATGAATAGAAATTATCAAAGGCCACCAATATCCAAAGATACAATCTAGCCTCAAAATTTCATCAATGTCTAATCTATTGAGTGCTTGCTGAGTGAAGTCTTAGTGTTTTCATCCCAGATTTAAGCTTCGCTCTTTCTGGACATTTGACTTCCATTTCTACATTTTAGTGCTCTTTAACCCAAGAAAATGGTACCCTAAA